ATAGGTTTTGGAAATCAGGGTAGATTTATCAGATGAATTATTTTGAATTATTTTAGTAAGCCGAAGGGATATATGTGAGTTCCACATTTTAGCCCCAAAGGGACTGCGCTAACAAGCTTTTATAATTGTATTCTTGCACCTCTGTAGTTACACTTGAGACACTGGTTTCGTCCAATAATATGACTGACTATATTGCAACCAGTCATTCTTAAATAAACATGTGAAAAATCTGAATTGTCCGTGGCATGTTCTGGTATACATATATATGCCGAAGTTTACTTTAGCATTTAGTCGTTTTTAAGAGACAAGGTGTTTTGTTGCACAAGCGTCTAACCCCATTAAGCAATTTTTTTTATTTCAGAGAAAGCATATGATCTATGAATGCCCATCATCTGCGTGCTATTATTTTAAAACTTCAAGATCGTCTGAGTGACGATGATCGAAAACGTTTACATTTCTTCTTCGGCCAAGACGTACCACGACGAATTAGAGATGATCCGTCGCTTGGTGGCACTCTCAGTCTCATGGAATGTCTCTTCGACCAAGATAAAATCAATGAAGAAAATTTCACATTTTTGATACATGCATTCGAAGCAATTCAATGTGTCGACGCTGCAAAACTTTTGAGAGGTTAACTTCTGTCTCTGAGCAGTAACTCATTATTTTTGATCACTCTAGAGCATATGAGACAAATACAACCGAATGAAATAAAACAATCGATGAGAAGTTTAGCTGAAATTATGCCAATAACAATTAAACAACTTTTGGACGATCAGCAAGATGATAAATACGGCACGCAACGTTGTGAATGTAAAGTAGATGTGTTATGTTTCTGAACACACTCAAATTTCAAGATTAAATTTAGTCTCCCTTTCTGATAGCAACATTTATGACAACAACAAAGTGATGACCAATAGCAACGATGCAGACATTAGCCCAACTACTGCTATTATAGATAATCAGACGACACCACCTTTACAATTGAAACGAAAACAAATATTTAGTACAACATTGATACTATGGATATGTTTATGTCTGTTTTTTGTGATGTTGATTATTTTACTCGGAGCCATCAGTAGAATCTATATACGTCGAGAATTACAAAATAATTTGCAGTTAAAAGAAAATATTTTGGCTGAAAGAAAGAAGTGTAACGAGACAATACAACGGCTGAACGGCAAACTGAAATATGGCCACGGAGTAAGAAGTAAGATAGACAGTACTGGTTTGAAGAGTTTTCGATGAGTAGAAATTCTAAGAATCAAATGAGAAATAAATAGCAGAACATTGTTTTGTTCCATCGATAGATCTATTCTCTAGTAAAAAATAAAGTACAACAACGCTTGATTCTAATATTCATGGGTATGGATGCGAATTTTTCTATAAGACCTCTGTGTTCTTAAAATATGTCATACTTGAAACTTGAATTCCATTATTCTCAACAAAAAGAAAATGTCTCTTTGTAACGAAACTCTCAATAAATCGATGATAATTTGTCGAAGCTTAAAAACAAATTTGATAAAAATGATAATTATTTTTATTAGTAATGTGCGTGCGCTCAAATTGTATCACTTTGTAAAGGTTCCCATTTCTAAATATTTTTGCAACAATTTAATTGATTCTATTCTATACACGCTGATTTAATTTTTGAGTAAGCAACTATATGCATCAACCGTTCATTCAACGAGTTTTGACATACACTATTGGCTTTTCTCTGAGGTTAGAACTCATCTAGCTTATGTTTTGCTTTGCCCGCTATATTCTGGCGAATATATGTGTAAATTCCATTAGAAAATAAAAATAAAAACACCATCTTTCACAAATGCTGGAGAATGTAAGCGAGATTAACAGAAGACTGATGTAATCCTGATAGAATATTTTCTTAGCGTTGTTCTGTTTTATTCCCTATCGTAAAAGAGACCAATATTTCATTCCTAGGATCTGCTTCGTTCACTGAATTCGTCCACTTGAAGATAGAATTCTAAAGCATGTTCTATGAAAACAACTCTACTTTTGAGTTTCCATAAAAAGATTTTCATCAAATAGTTTTGCTGCTTCATCTTAGATATTCCGTGGATTGCAGTCGATGCTCGATGGTCATCGAATGGTGTCACAGTTGCTGGAGGCAATGGTAAAGGTAATGCCACTAATCAACTGAACCATCCTTCCGATCTATTTGTTGATGGCGATCAAACAGTGGTCATTGCTGACTTCGATAATCATCGTATCATCCAATGGAAGAAAGGTGATGCAAATGGACAAATCATTGCTGGTGGCAATGGCGAAGGAAATAGATTGGATCAATTGGATCATCCAAGCAGTGTACTAATTGACAAAGATACGGATAGTGTCATTATTTGTGATCGATTGAATCGACGAGTAGTGCGATGGTCTCGCCGTAGTAACGCAACAACAGGAGAAATTCTCCTCAACAAAGTGCACTGTCGAGTCTTAGCTATGGATGATCAGAAACATCTCTACGTCTCTGACACCGAAAAATATGAAGTAAGACGATATCAACTGGGAGACCAGAGTGGTATGCTCGTGGCTGGTGGGAATGGCCAAGGGAATGGTACCAATCAATTCCAGTGGCCGACTCATCTCTTTGTTGATCGACAACAGAACGTCTACGTCTCAGATAACAGCAATCATCGCATAATGAAATGGAATAAAGGTGCAAAAGAGGGCATTATTGTCGCTGGAGATCAAAGCGAAGGAAATACTCTGACACAGTCGAATTATCCTGAAGGAATCCTCGTCGATGCGTTGGGTACTATCTATGTAGCAGACTCGTGGAATCATCGTGTAATGCGTTGGCCTCAAGGATCAAAACAAGGTACGATGATTGTGGGTGAAAATGACTCAGGCGCAGGGGCAAATCGTCTGAACTCCCCTCGTGGTTTGTTCTTCGATGAACATGGGAATCTCTATGTTGTTGATTGTTATAATAATCGTATTCAACGTTTTTCTATAGAATAGACTCATGAATTACTTTTCTTTTCTTGCCATTTGAATAAATAAAATTGATTGGGTGTGGATGTGGGCCGGTGTCAGTGTGAATAGGAAGAAGAATCCCAGTGATCGACACTCACAGCCATCCCCCCTCAAGATCAACTGCTCACAGTATATTCACAAAATCTAAGATCTCTAGAGAAACCGAAACTTGTGTTTCAGCTTTCAGAGAACGAAAGAGAAGCCTATTCTGAATACACATGGCACGGCTTGGGCTTGATCTTTTACAGTTCTACAAAATGAAAGTGTGTGACTTCGACTCCGTTGAAGTCGGATTTCGAAGTACTGCGTAGGACTCTACACTTGATTCAACTGAAAAACTTTTCTTTTAAATAATTTACGAAGAATAGTTCAATGTCTCTCAGTATATTACTTTTTATTTTAGTAATTCACACAGTAAGTATCAGAAGACAAATTTATTTCCTTTTTCAATCAATGAAACCTGCAACGTCGATACTTCTTGAACTCGAATCAGCCTTGCTTATTCATCTTTTCAATACATCAACTGGCACTAGTGTAACCATAGGTAATTTGTTGTATGTAAATGCATGCATTGAATTTTCTTTTATACATACGTCTTATCCAAAAATATTGAATCATTGACAATCGACGAACAGTTATAATGAAAGGAACAGCAGTGAATGATATACAATATACAAAAGATTGTTTTTATATTTCAATTAGCGTTTGCTTTTGAATTTGTCGTTCGATTCGAGAATCGATGTGAGACATGTCAATCAATGAATCAATCGCGTAGGTATATATACCTGAGTAAAAGTGCGTTTAGTTTATAGAACCGAATTTATATTGGAAAAAAACTGAAGAGAACAAGACTTAACTAATTGTACAAGATGATTAAATGTAGAATTAGAATAACGAAAAGAAAAAATATAATACAGACAAAAAAACTATTTCTTTAGTGTTTTATTGTTGCTATCCAATGTTGAATGGCACCGTAGGAATATTTGGCCAAAAGGCTAAATAGCGATTAGATCACGAATAATCTTTCTATCCATGCCACTAGTGCACGATCATTGTGATATCCATTTGTAATAATCAATAAGCCCGAACTATACACGATTGTTGGTATTTATGGTTTCCCGAAACAGATTGCACCTCGCCATAATGAATAAAGATTGAGCAATCTCGAGTAGAAAAAGTTTTTGACTATTAATTTGCCATGATCTTGTTCTTTTTTGTCCTATTGAAGATGTTGAATTACAACAAATAAGCAGCCCGGATCAATCATTCCGACCATTGTTTATCGACCTTTTATACCATGTGTACGACGTTCATATAGTTGTTTCTTCACCGTTTTCTTGGATCTGCAAAATTATCTGAAAATATGGTTTATAATTTATACTAACTTCATTCAATCTTCAAGCACTTTTTTCAAAATTCATTTTCTTGAAAAATGTCAAGTATCTCTTAGCTTCGTCTATATTGATTTGAGTATCACAAGCAACACTGTTAGAAAGAAATAAACGTTTACAAAAGAAAGACAATAGATGTTCTACGTACAATATCATTTTTATCTTTTATCGCTCTGCATTTTTCAAAATAAAAAAATCGAAAGCTCTAATCTATTGCAGATTGTGATCAATGAGTAACTGAGGACATAATAAAAAGATTGAGCAAAATAAAGGCTAACTAAAATGATGAGCATCAAAATGACAAAAAAATGTCTTGCCGTATACTCAGGTGCTTAGGCATCGATTAAAAAAAAACGACACGGTAAAAAGTCGTATATCGACGTGGGCTACAGGCTCGGAAAGTTTCGCCCAATTTGAAGATACTTGTGTATTTTCTGGGAAACATCCTTCTTGAATAAAAAAAGGATTTTCTTCTAATAATTCACAAAACTAATTTAAAGTGATTCCATACGATTTGCAGTAGGATCTGATTGCGCATAAATTTGAATAGTATCACTATTATTCATTGATGGCAAATGAAGACTCATTGCCGCTGGCGTTTTGTTCGATTCTTCATCCAAAAATAATTTGCTACATTGATTTTACGTAGTATAGACGAGTGATTGAGTAGAAAAAGGAGAGCAATCAACTAGAATATATTTTACATAGAATTCTATTACTCTGCCATCAGACGATTGAATCTGTACTTTCATTTATCGTGGCCACAAATTAGACGAATTAATATTAGAAAGAGTATTTATTACTGATAGATACGATAGGAACGTCTTCCGACTGCGTGCTATTCTCATGAATAAAATATTGCATGGTAAAAAATAAGGCGGTCAACCAAGTTATTGCTATCTAAATGAGCATGTTTCAAATAGAAAATAAAATATGCGTTATCGGAAAATCTGAATGTACTCATTCGTAGAATGAAAAAATATCATGCCCCGAAGTAATATGATTCTAATCGATATGATCGGGTACAGCGTGGAACAAAACGATGGATATCTGGCTGCCATCTGCATGCAGTCATCGTATACTTTCCCTCTCATGTGAGCTGAACAACTCATGAATCATCCTAAACATAATCGATAAATTTTATACGAAACTCAACTATTATTGGCAAATGAGTAACATGATGTCTATGAGACGAAAAGAAAACAGCAAAGAATCCAGACTATATCATCTGAAAACGATGATCGTCTAATACATCAAATCTAGCTCTATTTGAATTAAATTCTTCGTTTAAAACAGAATTAGAAACTCGCAAACTCAATAATGGTATCTTCACTGTTTAAAAACTAAAAAAAGAAATATTTGTCTATTTTGTCCATTGCCGGATCCAATCAAATATTTCTTGGTACAAAACTAGTGAATTCAATGGATTCAGTGTCCAATGATTTTCATCCGGAAAGTAAAGCATTCGACTTGGAATTCCACGCCGTTGCAAAGCCGTAAATGCACCAATACTTTGTGTTTCTGGTACACGATAGTCACGTCCACCCTGAATAATCAACATCGGCTGTGACCAATTTGCAACGTGGTTGACCGGATTGAACTTTTCATAAGCCTCTGGATTATCATACGGAGTAAAACCATCTGCATCATGTTCTATGAACCACAGTTCTTCTGTGGAATCAGCCATTTCTCGCATGTCAAAAATACCAGCATGACATATGAGAGCTCGAAAATGTTGACTCATTTCTGGATGTCCAGCAATCCAATTGATCATATATCCACCATAACCAGAACCTAATGCTATAGCTCGAGTTTCATCAATATATTTGTACCGTTTTAGAGCAGCAAAAAGTCCCCGTTGAAGATCTTCATAAGGTAATGTACCATATTCACCAGTGATACTATCAGTAAAAGTTTGTCCATATGAGTCAGAACCATGAAAATTGATGGCAACGACTGCATAGCCTTGCGAAGCAAACGATTGAAAATTCCAATCATAACTCCAGGCATCATACCAACTATTCTGCGGACCACTGTGAATTAGAAAGACGAGAGGTGCTTTTTGATCGGTGATATTCACGGGTGCTACATGCCATCCCGAGACAGTATTATTTCGAGCTCCTATAAACGAAAATGATTCGTAGACATAACTCAAGCGTGTCTTTCTAATTAACCAATCGTTGTGTTTCGTGATCGGGATTGTTGCATCGTCTGTAATTACACCGATATTTGTCGGCCAAATAATACCTTCATACGTAGTAAGCAGTATCTGATCGTTGGTTGGATGAACATTGGCATCGCGCCAAGTTCCAAGATTATCCGAAATACGAGCAACTGTTGCGTTCGGAGTGAGAACATTCAGTACTCGATAAATTGCATGGATTCCGTATTCGCCCAGTTCCAGGAAGACTGATTGGCCATCATTCGACCATGTAGCAGCTTGAATGCTTCTATCCCATTCGTCGAGTAGCGCTCTTGTTTTCGTATCTGATAAAAGAAAATAGAATGCATCCTTCACCATGGCTGTAACTTACTATCGTACAACTTCATTTTGAATTGATCTGATTCGTAGCCTGGCACTGATTGTGCTCGATACATCAATATATGTTCGTTGGTCGGTGAATATTTCGGGTCTGTATCTGCAGCCATATTATCGCAAGTGATGCAGATACTAGATTGATTGAGCACGCTCAAATCGACTGTATAGATATCAAGATTGGTTGACCATGCCACTTCACTCTTTTCATCATGCTGTCGTGTAAAGGCAAATGAGTTACCACTGGCACTGAATGACCACTGCGATTTGGCATCACCAAATGGACGTGTTGGTGAATCACTATCGATACCAAAGAGAATATCGGTGGGTGTTGAGGTGAACTTGAATGTTCCATGTGCATCTCGGCCAATCGAAACAACAAATGGATGGTGACGTGGACCTGTGATATATTCATCCCAGTGACGAATGAACAATTTATCAAATTCATAAACGAAACGACCACTTGCCTTCTTCGCCGATTGTTTAGCAGCTGTATCTTCGATCGATAAATTAGCATAGACTTGACAACCGAAGGCAAGGCGAGTAGCTTGTCGATTGACCAGAAGATTGTCAATATTCAATGGAAAATCAGTAATTTGAATGGGTTCAATGAAGTTGCTGATGTTGAATACATCAACAGGAAGATTCAATTGAAACAGTTGAGTGAGACCGGATGAAGTTCGATTCGATAGAAAAAGAATAGTTTTATTGTCTACACAATAAAACTGAAAAACACTTTTTAGGTGAGAAACATTAGGGTTATTGTGTTTTTTGTTTTTTGTTTTTCCTTACCTGTTGATCGTTGATACCCCATATGGGCCGTGTTAATTGAACTGGAGCAAATGAATTTATCAGATCAAAATAATGTAAAGTTGTAGATGATCCATTGGAGTCAGGCATATGATATTGTTTTCTCAAGTAAATGATTTTATAACCATTGTCAGGACAAAATCGAGGCCACGATAGTCGATCCAAACGAAGGTTGTCTACTTGACTGAAATCATGTATGCTAGTTACATTTTGATAATAGTCACTGTTAGACTGGTAATCGCTAGCATTCCATTCAGGTGGTCTTGGAGGATGCGGACTAGGAGTCGAGCAATCTTTTGTACTATGTAGTATGATAATTAGACACGGAATGAACACTACCAGAGCACCTAAGAAGAAGGGCGATACCCAACAAACATTTTTAAATTTTGATTTTGATAGATACAAGTTGATACTCGTATCAACGGAGGCTAAGAAAACTGCCGTCGACATAGTGCATACTTGAAATAAAGTACAAGACAGAAAGAAACGCATGCTTTCGGTCGTTTTGATGATATAGCAGACTGACAGCATAGACCAACAAAAGAGAGTTCTGATGACTCTCTATCGTGTCAACAGTGAATCTGTAATGTGAAATTGAGAGTACATTCGGAATCAAAAATAAAATTTACTATTTATGACTCGTAAAGCTCACCTTTATATTGCACAGCTGATCGAATTATGTAGTGTTGTAAAGTTGACTCCTGAAACTATAACTGTAAAGATGGCGCTTCTTTCCGCCTGCACGTTTAGATGAAAGTCGATTCATATTTTTTCATAACGACGAAAATAAACTTACACATAAGAACTACGCGATTACGAAATGTAAAATCTCAGACAGAATGCTTAAAAGGAGTAACTACGGAAGAAAGATATGAACCTAGGTCAATTCCCACCATCCTACATGACTGTCTTAAATAGTGACCGTGAAAAATCGTCGTTAATAACTCCTGTAATTGTACGACTGCCGTAATGGGACGTCAGATAATATCGTATGCGGCAACTTTAAACAGTTTATTTCACGGTTACTGTTTCTCATCGCCGTTGCGCATAGAGTGTGGGTGTTAGTACGCCTGTCGATGTGACTATGATTAGGCTCGTTCTCTAGTTTTCTACACCCACACGTAACGAATGGCAAAAAGAGGATGATAACTCAATTCATGTTCGGCCTAATTCTGGAATGGATATGTAATGGTTCCCGGAAGTCCGGAATTCTGTTTGTAGTGATTGAAGGAATGCCGGAATTGTATTCGAAGTGATAAATGAAATTTCATTCAAATGCATGCAATTCGAGTTATAGTGTAACAGTGATCGCGGGTGTGAATATTCACTGTTAAAGACAACACAAGCACATATACACCCATCCACGCCAAACACTGTAAAACTGAGGTTACTTTGTGGGATTGCAACTCGTTGTATTACATACTGCACATTTTGTTTTATCTCTAAAAGCAAATATGACATCACGTGCGTATTAACATGTTATTACCAACCCTTATCATTTTGAATCATTTTGGTTTGCTACTTGAAACCACACACATCTTGCATGTTTATTGAACACGTATGAAAGATAGAAGATACTGGTTTTAATCACTCGAATAGTCGTGAGATTTTTTCTTTGACTACATTAGGTAAATAGTAGTGGGACGGTGAATTCATGTCAGCTATTTTTCTCTTTCAGACAAGGATAGTTCAATCCGTTATTTATCTGTTAAGAGAAACTTACTATATATAGTTGATTACATGAAAATAATTCAAATTTTAGTTCAAAACGGATCGAATTGTATCATTGAGAATAAGAGGCTAATCTAAATAGTAGTCTTAATTTATATTTTTTTTTAGAAAATTGAATAATAATCTTTATATCATATCTAAAAGTTGTAGTTTTTGATTTTATATTCATGTATACTATTTATATCTGATATTTTCATTCGTTTATATATAACATGACTTTTTAACAAAACTCTTATTCACCGCTTTCCGGTATATTAGATATAATTGATGACAAATGAATGTTTGATTATAAAAAGTTGTTGATATTGTTCAATTCACTTTTAGATAGAGCTATCCATCCAATGACACATTTCTTCGTATTGAAATGGATTGTGATGCTATTTTTCCTTTGGTTCTCATCTGCGCAACAGTGTGATCAACCTGTAACAACGGCACGATTCGATTGCTATCCTGAGCCTTCTATATCACAAGAGAAATGTCTTGCTCGCAATTGCTGCTGGAATCCGACAAATCAGTTATTAAAAGCTCGCTCAGCCAATAATTCTCTTGAAATCGGTGTACCTTTGTGTTATTATCCACGCGATTTCCCAGCTTATAAAATGACTTCTAATGAATCAACTGCTTTTGGTCAACGGCTAATAATTGTTAAACAGCAGTCGACCTATATGCCGAATGAAATCTTAAATTTAACAGTTGATCTTTTCTACGAAACAGCACAACGATTTCGTTTACGAATTTATGATTCAACAAAAGAACGCTTCGAAGTACCACTTGAAGTACCTGTTGTTAAAACAAAAGTTAATGTCACTGATTACGAAGTGTCAGTTAGTCAAGCACCTTTTTCTATTCTTGTCAAACGAAAATCGACTGGTGTGACAATGTGAGTACTATTTTCCCGTACTTTTTTTAAATTTCCACTCAAGAAACTAACTAGTAGCATAGGGATCATTCTTCTGAGAAACAGAACGTCTTTTTACTCTCGGACAAGCTTACTGTATGTATTCTATCGTAGATTCGATACCAACGTAGCACCACTTATATATGCTGATCAATTCATAAAGTTTTCAAGCTATATTTCCAGCCCATTTCTTTATGGTCTTGGTGAACATCAACAACCTTTGTTGATCAATGTCACAAATCAATGGAAAAAGCTAACATTTTGGACTCGTGATACTGCTCCAGCTCAGCATACCAATCTGTACGGTAAGTTCGAACGTGTGCATATTGAATAGATGTTTTTCTTATCAGGTGTCCATCCATTTCACATCAACGTGGAAATGAAAACCGATATGTCGACTAATTTTCATGGGCAATTTTTTCTTAATTCGAATGCCATGGATATTGATCTGCAACCATTACCCGCCATTAGTTATACAACAATTGGAGGTATCATTGATTTGTATTTATTTACTGGGTCTAGTGCGCAAGATGTTATTCAACAATATTGGGATGTGATCGGAGTAAAATAAAGCATGATTAAATTATTGATCTTGTTCATTTTGTGGAATTCTAGAAGCCTACAATGCCACCCTATTGGTCGCTTGGCTTTCATCTGTGTCGCTATGGTTACAACAGTATCGAAAATTTACGAGCCGTTATTCAGGTATTATTCTTGAAAATGAAAAGCAAAACAGTTGTTTATTGTTATTCATTGATGCTCTTAGCGAATGCATGATGCCGAATTTCCATATGATGTTCAATGGACAGATATCGATGCAATGTCTTCTAGTCTTGATTTTACCTATGATCAAAACAATTTCCATGGTCTACCAGATCTTGTTCGTTCTTTACAGTCTGAAGGTAAACATTATGTCAATATCATTGATGTCGGTATTAGTTCTACACAACCATCTGGAACGTATCCACCATATGATGATGGTTTGAAAAGAGCAATTTTTATGACTAAATTCAATTCAACCGTGCCGATTGCAGGAAAGGTATTTTTTCTACGGATATTAATTCGATACGATTTTAATATACGTAAGTATGCGTATTTTAGGTTTGGCCAGGTAAAAATTGTCCTTAGGCACTTTGCATTAATTATTAGCATCATTTCGCATCTAGGATTAACAGTCTTCCCAGACTTTACAAATGCCAGTACTATCGAATGGTGGACGAATAATGCTGCTACATTTCATGATATCATACCGTTCGATGGCATTTGGATTGTAAGTAAATAAGACGTGGAATTGTTTGAAAACTAAAAGAGCTGAAAATTCAAAATTTTAGTCGTCACGAATACTTTCAGATATATTTCTAGGATATGAATGAACCATCAAATTTAATCGACGGTTCTTACGATGGTTGTACAAATAATTCATTAGATAAACCTCCATTTGTTCCAAGTAAGTTTAGTTGAAACTAAGCAAACCAAACATCCTAGAATACTTTCAAAGATGTTCTTGGCAAATCACTCAGTTCAAAAACACTGTGTCCATCAGCACAACATGCAATATCTTCTCATTATAATTTACACAATATGTACGGCTATTTCGAATCAATAGCAACACATCTGTAAATCTTTAATTGTGTACTTTTTCAAAATAAAAACGACTTGGGATATTTTCTAGTGCACTAAAAACAATTCGTCACAAACGACCATTTGTTTTATCACGTTCGTCTTTTGCCGGCTCAGGTCAATATGCTGCTCATTGGACGGGTGATAATGACGCGACGTACGAAGATATGTATTTTTCAATTTCGGGTGTGTATGATTACAATAGATTTTCTGTTCTTGAGACAGTTCAGACTATGATCTTACCGAAATGCAAAATATAAGAGTACAGAAATATACAAATATATTAATTAATTTGAATGATTCGTTTTATTCCTTTTGTCTTTAAACGAGCACATTCTAGTATCTTGAATGAAACGGAAATTCTATGAAAGTAACAAAAACAAAATCACGAAACGTCCTTCAATCCGTGTTTATATATTTTAATACAAAAATCTTCACTCTACACTAGAAGGATACGATCGACTAATCTATTTTAAAAATTGAAATCTTGTTTTTGTTGTCCGTTTCTCTTAAGCACGAGTTTTTATGAAAAAAAAGAACGTTTTGTTGCACATACAAAGAATAGGGAATAGGGCAAATCTTCGGAGTAAATTTTTTCGTAAATTTTCCAAACTATCGCTATATTCAAGGAACACACATATGTATTAGTAGAATTTTTAAGATTCTTTTGGGCAGAACAACATGCTGAAATTTATTCTTTTTTAAAACGCTCTAGACATTCTCAGTTTTAATATGTTCGGAATGCCCAATGTTGGCGCTGATATATGTGGCTTTCGAGATGATACAAGTGAGGAATTGTGTACACGATGGATGCAACTGGGTGCATTCTATCCTTTCATGAGAAATCATAATGGTGTTCAGAAGGTACATACTCAAACAGACTAACATACTTCATTGATTTCTATATGAAATAATTAGGATCAAGATCCAGCTGTATTTTCGTGGACAGCTCAACAGATTATGAAACAGGCACTTATAATGCGATATTCATTGGCTCCATTCTGGTATACTCTTCATTACAGAGCAGCGATAGCATCGGAAACTTTATTGCAACCACTTCATTTCGAGTATGTGATCAATGAATTCTCACGCTTTTTTTGTGACTCATTATGCGATTCTATTAGATTTTTCAATGACAACAAAACATTGGGGATCGATCGACAATTTCTCATTGGCCGTGCCATTCTCGTCTCACCAAATCTTGTTTCAGTAAATGTCAATGCTGAGAGTATATTCTATTCTTTACTATTATACATACTCGAATCTTTGTATAGAACGTAACTACGATACAGGCATATATTCCAGAAGATGTTTGGTATCAGTTCCCGTCTGGCGTTCAAGTGAACGTTGTCGGTGTATTTGCCGATCTTGACGCTCCTTTAGAAAAGATTAATATTCATATTCGAGGTGGTTTTATTATTCCTATGCAAATACCCGGAGATAATTTAATGCTCGGCCGTGGAAATTCATTTACTTTACTTATCGCGCAGTCAGCATTGGGAAATGCAACTGGAAATCTTTTTTGGGATGATGGTGACTCCATGGGTGAGCATAGATTTGGCAACATTATCATTCATACTCATGTTCTTCTTTCTTTATTTCAGATTCTATCGAAACAAGCACGTATAACTACTTTGAATTCTCAGTTGTTTCAGTGAGTTGAATGATTGAAAAAGAAATTGAATAGTTGACGTTTACTATTGATTAGAATACATTGACGATCAATGCAATCGTAGAAAATTACAAAGACTCACCAATGCGTTTAGACCTTGTTCGCGTTTTTGGTGTTAGCAAACCAGTGACGAATGTGACTGTCAATGAAAAAGATCACAAGGAATATTTCTATAATATTCCTGATCAAGTACGTTTTTTAGGCTAAAATCTTACCTTTGACTACCTACGCCTGTTCATTCAGCACGTAAACGTAGGATTTCATAATTTTATCCATTAATTATTTAGTAATAGAAAACAGCTTGAAAATACGTGTACATAATTTTGAACAACTACGAGATGAGAGTCGTAATAAAACTATTTTTAGCACTTGCAATCGATGGTCCCAAATGCATGCGTCATTTCACAGTAGATTAGTTTGGTAGAAAAATACAACTCTCTTCAATATACAGTTATATATGTTATAAGTTTTGTTGTTGGAATGATTCATCGTTTTCATTCGCTAAGAATATTCCGCAAAGTTATAGACAGGGCATGGTACTTTTTACAACTGTCAAGCTTCTTGCATATGTGATATTGACATTTTTATAGAGGAAAATTAATTATCTATCAAATAGAATCAGTTGGAATATTTTCACGATTATGCTATTTAATACAGGAAAATATAAAGCAAAACAAGAAAAAACACCTAAGTAAATGAATGACAGATCAACTATTTGACTAATTTCATTTCTAGATTTTAATCGTGTATGGCCTCGATATGGATATGCTTGCTCAACTTATTCAAACAATCAAATGGACGACAACAACAATATTTGATTAGTGCAGACAATCAGTTCTTTTTTTCTTGGATTTCTTTTCTCTCTAAGAATATTCGCTGTTTCATGTTGAATATGTCAATCAAAGCTAATATTTTCTTAATTTCTGTAAGGCGTTTAGCTTTTCAAAAGCAGTTTACCACAGAAAATCTAATTAAAATCTAATTGATGAGCTTTCAATTTATTATGTTTTGAGTGCGGATGCGATTGCCGATTAGAAAAAGACCAATATTCACATCAAGCATTTTTCTTTTCTTGTTTCTCGTGCACCACAATCTACAAGTTTTATATCTATTATTTTTCTTCATCATTATTTAGTTCTATTAGGCTTATCAAAATAATGGAATAATAATGGGAAACGTGAGAAATAAGAAACCATTGTACCTTGTTATTGATTTATCGAATATTTTGTGTGACCTTTATCTTTATCTAAGAAAAACATCGGACATCAAGCGATTTGCGCAGTACGATCAAAACAGCGAAAGTGATTCAGCAGCTGAAAGGTATATAAATTGGTGTACATGGCATTCTGTGCTCCTTACTACTCCTTTCAACTCCATAATCAACACAGTATAAAGATGACGACGATCTCAATATTTGTGTATATAGAGCTGCTGGCAATTATGTTATTGTTCAAATCGACCAGCACAGCAACTATTGATCTAACGAAAAGTGAGGATTTTCAACATCGTACGTCGCAGAAACAACAGTCAAATCCTATGTTAGAAACCATCAATGGAAATCTAGATGATGTAAATCCAATAGCTCCGTTTCGACAACATCCATGGGTTGCAGCCGCGGATAATCTTGAGATGAAGCACATCGTGAAAAAAAGATGTACTAATGGATGTCGATCTGCACGTCATAGTCATAATCACCGTCGTCATCATCATAGTCATCACCATTCGTCAAACCCATACCCTAATTCTATGGGAAACCCATATCCTAATTCTATGGGAAATCCATATCCTAATACTTGGGGTAATTCATATCCTAATACTTGGGGTAATTCATATCCTAATACTTGGGGTAATTCATATCCTAATAATTGGGGTAATTCAAATCCGAATTCTTGGATGAATTCATATCCGATTGGAATCCCACCTTTTCAACCACGATATCGCCGATCACTCTCGATATTCGATTAAACTCTTGATAAATCTTTTCAATCTGTAAAGTAAATGTATGTGTGTTTAAGAATGCAAACTATCTTTAGTTTCCTTTTCGTCTAGGATCAAAGCAGCAACCAATTCTAAAGCACAGCATTAAAATGAGCCTTGGCATATTGTTGTCAAAGTGGTATCAAATATCATTCTTTTTCACAAAACACGAAATATATTCCTATAGTCCACTTTTACTAATCTTTTTCATCTTCTTTTGTCACGCTATCATAAAAAATATGTAATCACGAAGTGTTTTTCTACAGAGTTAACAATAAAATTGATATACATACATACAGTAGATAACAATTTTTTTTTTCATTTCTGTAATTATATTTGTATTCGGCCAGAATAAAATTGCAATTAGTAGGGTGTTGGTGTGACGGTAGGGGTTCTTTATGTGAATATCCACATACACAACCAAATGTGTTTATACTCTTGAGAAAAAATCATTTTCTTTTCAAACAACTTCCTGGATGAAAAGATGATCATCCTATTTATAGTTCAAGTAAAGAAATTTCATGCCACGATTAATACAAAAAATTATTAAAATAAAAGGGAGAGTGTGGGTGTGCGTGCTATCGTCTCGCAGTTAACATCCACACCGTCAGATACCCACACCCGGGGATTGACTTCTAAAGAGAGAATTTAGACGAAAAAAATTCCCTGTATAAAACATACTCAAGCATTTTTCCAATGCACTGGGAACAATATCGATGATCACATGTACTAAATTTTGGTTCAACAAGTAAATGATGACATGATGAGCAAAGAAAATAACGTTGAACACCTGATGAAACTGAATCGAATGCCAAACCATCCTCAACAGGTATACTAAATAAATGGATAATAACGTGCCTAATGTCGTGACTTTGATATAAACTTTTTTTTCTTAGTTGTGGCCATAAAACTCAACGGTTCATCTTTATTGAACTTATCCTCCTCCATGAATAATTATTACTCATTGGTCACCTGCTGAACGTTCATCTATCCCAGATCAATAGCTCGATGGAGAAAGAAAAACAAATATTTGTTCACATTTGTTGATGTTGAGTTTTGCCTTTTTATGTTATTTGATGTCTTTAAAATGAAAATATTCGTTTTATTTTATCGCTGAAGAATCTAATAAAAAGTGTCTCAATTGTATGGTAAAGTTTACGCTAATGAATTTTTTTCTAACAAATTCAATAAATGTTATGCGTGTGACGTGATGAACTCTCGTTGTTCTATTGCATTACTGTTCCCTCTTTTTTTTTTGTATATCCACCCAAGCATGATTAATCTATCGTATATAACGGAATGTAACTGAAGGAAATGCACGACTAGAGATGTGCAGGTGACACAATAAACCATAATGCTGACGGACATAGGCACCTCTCTATGTTCGTCACAAACATCCTAGCAAAATGTTTTTCTTCAACATAACTTTGGGAAAATAGCCTATCTAAAGCTTGCAATTTAAGCTGTCCAACTCTTTGTCTGTTGAGCACTTGTACAGAAATAGCATTTTTGTTTCTTTGAGTATAAAATACTGTACAATAGTTAATTGTTGTGCTTGTTATCTTCTTCTCTAGTTGTTGCTGATGGTTTCTTGACAAATTCTTTGTAGGTACCAAATAGACGATCGAAATCAACCAATTTCATTTAGATGAAGAAAATTTAACATTAATTTTTCAATTAATTAAAATCTGGTCATGTAACTATGAAAGAAAAACTAATTGATGAAAAGAGTCAGAATAAACAATAATCAGCTCTATGTTGGGTTAACAAATAAATTTCATATACCGAAGATCGGTCAAAACGTTTTGAGAGGCTGAGCCTCCCTCTCACCCTGTCCAAAATCCTGGCTACGCCGCTGCTCATATACCCCCACACGCTATCGTGACATCGAATAGTTTGTTTATAATGAACATACATTTGAAAAGTGACAACATTGAGCACTGTTCGAGTGTGAAGTTTACATCTTAGCCCTGTTGTAATTCACACCCACATTTTGTATGCAAATTTTATCTGTAGATTCAACTAACAAAACCAATGAGGTGTTGCATGATGTGGATATAGACGCTACTGATTATTAGTTACGTTAGATCTCTGCTACATTGTATTTTGGCAACGCAATCGATCACGCCATAAAGCTCAGATAACAAAAACCCAAACAGTATTAGCTTGACCCACAATGCAAATAAAAATATGAGACTATGACTGAACATAATGCGTAGATAACTATGCAGCCTGCAATTACGAAAGACACCGTAACTGCTAGTTTATCATATTCAGGCAGCTTAGTAAGGAAGTACTGTATCATATTAGTTTGATTCCGATCAATAATTTATTAAATTTAAATTTAAATTCACAAAATTTGATTCCACCTTAGACAACCGTCTCCCAAAAGTCACTGGTCATAAGTAAATCATGTCTTTTTTTTTGTTCATTGAACTAATATTCCTTGCCACTGTAATCCTTTTACAAGACCAGTTTTATTCTTGCGTTGTAACATTTTGTCACTAATTTCAATAATCCCTCCATTATTTTGTTGCATATTAAACTTTTCTAAATCTTTAATTACTCGTTCACTTCCATAATATGCATGACGCACAACATCTTCTTGAAATCCATGACCTAAAGTGACACATTCAAAATCGTTTACTAATACTGTGTGACCTCGATCGAGTGCAAAATTATATACAGCTTCACATGAAATCTCATTGGGCGATGAGACAAGTGAACAAGGCATGATCCATTGCTGATTCACGCGAATAGGGTGCCAAGCAGTTATAATTAAGTTATTGTCAACCTTTGAAATGATAAAACGATTAATATTCATCATCTAGTGAAAAATAAATTCATTGATACTCACTATAACCATTTTAGCTTTTCGATTTTTACATATTGTTTTCACAACAAATTTCACCATTCCACCATGCGGTCCTAATCGATCACCAGGTTGAACATCTTTTACTAATTTCGAAGAACCATTCATAAGACGTACACTACATTCTCCATAAAAACAGCCAGCCGATGCATTATGAAAGACTGACATATCGATAGTAGCACCAGTCTCTGTGCGTTTGGGAGCTGGTAAACCACAAAATATATCATCCATTTCATCTCGTATTTGTGAGAAAAGTGAACCGCTTCCGTAATGTTGAACGCCTGGATCTTTGAAATTGTTACAAAATTGAAGAAGATGTGCACCTAAAGAAAATAATTTTAATTGTCAATAATCTCTCTTGCTATTTCGACTTCGTTGCGCTCATTTTAATCAATCTCTTTTCTCATTATTCCTATGCAGCTATTTCAAAATACTTCGGGATTGTTGTTCCTAACTGAAAGAAAAGACAAGAATAGTTTTCAACAATAATTTATACATTCACATGTCTTGAATCCTTCTCATTAAAGTTCTTATTAAAAAATATTGAAATAAATTTACGTGTTAAACTAGGCAAAAAATGTACACCCCATTTTTTGAACCATTCCACTTTGCCGATAGCTTCTTTTACTTGTCCTGTTAAATCAGTAAATAAATCTTTAAGAAATTCATCTGTTTCATTTGCATAACTCTTCATATGTTTCTCTAATTTTTCAATTTGGTTGAGCGCATCTTCGTGTCGCTGTTTTTCTTCTGCTATGTTTTTCTCTGTTTGACGCATATGTTCTAATGCTGTTCGTACTGAATGAACAAATTGTAAACGAAATTTCTGTCGACGGATTAGATTTGGATTAGTCTGTTGAAGATTGTTCGATACATGAAATTCAATAGTTTTTTTAATGTTTCGTGCATTGTTATATGTCACAGTGAATTTACATTGATTCAATAGTTGATGAGAATATGGAATTAGTAAATCTTTGCTTTGACCATATATGATGAAACCCAAATCCAATAAAGTACCATGCTCAGTTTTATTTGTTGAATACCAATGAGTGTAGTCAGAATCTTCAACATGTACATCATGAATTAATAACTATAAAAGAAGAATATCGCATATTGAATATTAATAAATAGAAGAAGAATCGGTAATTAAAAGCAGAATAATTTTAGTGCGTCTTACACTTTATATATTTTATCGGATAAAGTTTAAATAAATTTTGAAGAGAATCATTACCTGCACATTAGTTGCTGTTGTTGTTAATAGCATCGAAATAGCATTAACAAAGATTGTTCCAACGAATCCTCCATCGGGGATAAATGCATATGAACCAGCATTGCCTAATATAGAAATATCTTCAAGTAATTTACTATCCAGCTGATATCCGAAGCCAAATGTATTAACAGTACAAGTAAAATTAATTTTTTTCTTTAGTTTTTCTAATGCTTCTAGATGACCACCTTCCGGTATTTCAGTAGGACATCCATCAGTGAGAAGAAACAAAGCTGAAATACTTCGAATCGAATCTTGTTGTTTAGCTAAAAGTTCAAGGCCAGTTCGAAGACCATCCCATAAGTTTGTGGATCCACCAATCTAAATACATATTTGAAATCAACTTAAAAGTACTTAATCATTACACATTTTGAATATGTAAGTCGAAGATTTTGTATGCATGAAACATAAATTTTCCCGAAGGAAGCTCGATTAAATTACAGAGAATTTGTTGATAAGGCATAATTTAACGGACTAATGATTAGCATTAATTTATATTACGATCGAAACAACATAACGTTACATCCCTGTATATTTGACATACTTTTAAATGCTGGTCAGTTTTTGTGAAACACGATCTGAAAGGAGTGTTGAAGTATATAGGGTAGAAATTTGGACCCATCCCCGCCCCCCCCCCATAGACAGAGACAGAAATTAATTAATTAGTTAGCCGATTAATTAATTAATTAATTTCTCTNGTCCCATAGACAGAGACAGAAATTAATTAATTAGTTAGCCGATTAATTAATTAATTCATTTCTCTGTCCCAGTCTGTGATGGTTTCTGAATTTTCTGTCACGGTCTGTGATGGTCTCCGAATTTTCTGTCACGGTCTGTGATGGTTTATAGAGACTCCATACATCATAATACAGACCGTAATAGAGAAGCTCCACAGACCACCAGTGACAGTAATAGACGAATTCCAGAAAAGAAGTCTCATCGTGTTTCACACTTTTAATCCCAAAGGGATTGCGCTAACAGCTTTTTAAAACCTTTTCTCATCTGATTTAATTAGATTTATAAAGTAGAAAATGTGAAACTCCGAGTTTTTTAGTGGTGTTGATAAACGAAAGAATGTCATATGATGCACGAAATTATACTAATGACTTCTATTAAAGGTCTAATCCTGTACGAACCCGTAATTTTTCAACTTCGTCTAAAGCTTTGGTTTTTCCTGCTTCATCCATTGCTGTTAATTTAAATAGGATTGTAGCTGTATTAGAAAACGAAACAAGGGATAATCGATCTTGATCTTGAAGAGAATTTATAATTGTTTTAAGTGCGTGTTTAACCAAATCTAACTGAGATAATCCATAATGCTCATTTTTATCATTTTGAATTTCTGCTGAAGATGACATTGAACCTGATGTATCAACTACACAACAAATATCACATGGAGAACGAATCTCATCTGGTAAAGGTTGCATAGAAATGTGCACAAATTCATTATCATGAGTTGCAGATAATATAATGTCGGATAAAGATGTTTCCATTGGTGATAAAGTGAAATCATGAGTAACTGGGTCATGTGAAGATGTTTGAGAATTATCCATGTTCAAAATTAGATTGCTTTTCGGATTTATTAGTGCACAAGAAGTTGCTTAACTATTTTACAAACAAATAACTCCTTTTATATATGACATTGTGACTTAAAGATATAATGCTGGAATTGTTACTGTAAGAATCATAATGACACGTAGATGGGAAAAAAACGAGATAAAATTTAGGCAGTAAAAACGCTTTACATGCGTCAGAAATTACCTTTTCAACACACCTGTACGAGCAAAAGTAACGTGCGTCATTATTGACGCTTTTTTTGTTTTTAGGCAGGAAAGTGAATAAATATGCGTAGTAAGCAATAAAGAAAGCGTCACATGTAATTGCGTGCTTTCGAAGAAATTATTCTTTTAGTATTTACTAGTTTGACTAATAGTGTGTATATGTTATTGATGTAGAGGGGTGTCCAAGGACTGAGGAATGGAAATTCTTCCAATTCCCTCAAACACCAGCAAATAACAGAAAAGCATTCGAGGAATTGGTGATTGACCCACAGACACTAAATGAATCCCTACCAATATTCAGACATCTCCCTAAAAAACAGCACAACATACAATACCCCTCTCCGTAACATATTACACAAAATACCTACACAATCACTCAATTCCTCAGCTAGGGATTGCCTACCGTCGATCTAACACCCACACTTATCAGGTAAACACTAGGAACCGATGCTAATCACTCAACAAGGGATTTATGCGACCCAACATATCACTCGTGAAAAACACAAGGGAATAACTATCATGCTTCGCACTAAAATACCTCCTAGGGAGCCACTCGACATCCGTCGAGTAACTGGGGAACTGTTGTTTCTCGCATCAGTACTCTACTTTATCCCGGATCCTGAAAAGGGCCGGGGAACCGAGGAATTATGATAGTTCTGCTGATAGTACCCTCAAGGTATGAATCCATCTTTCCTTCAACGAATTGTGTTGTCAACGTTGCATGCATAGTGTTCCGCAGTTCCTTGAACGAAATGTGGATTGATACCTTGACGGTACTCAGGTCAGTACCTAGGTACTATCAGCAGAACTATCATAATTCCTCGGTTCCCCGGTCGTTTTCGGGATCCAGGATAAAGTAGAATACTGATGCGGGAAACAACAGTTCCCCCAGTTCCCTGAAAGAAATGTGGATTGATACCCTGCCGTTGTTCAGGTCAGTACCTGGGTACTATCAGCCGAACTATCATAATTCCACGGTTCCCCGGTACTTTCTGTTGTTGAGAAAGATTGTGAAAGTGTGTTTGATAAGTGTCGGTGCCGCAATCACTGGATGTTTGCGGTGATTTTTCTCTTCAGGATAGATGGGTCAATTACTAGGTACTGTCAATGGAAATATTATGGTTTTATTTTTTCGGTAATGTGCATGGATTGCTGCAGAGGTAGTACATGTGGCGTGAAATTGAATTTTCAATATCAGTTCCCTGCTTAGGGAGAGAGGATCAGTTCTGGATGCTTCTTTAGTTGTCCGGATAGTGATGATCATCTGAGCTATCGTAAGGATGTGTGGAGTGAATGTGAAGGATATTTAGGTTGAGTATTGTTGCGGTTTACATATTTTGTTTTGCAATTTGAAGAAATAGATAGGGAAATGAGTAAGGATATTTGATGGTACCGTTGGTCAGTTCTCGTTTTCTCAAAGTTATTATCTCTTTTAGCTGGACCTTCTAGGTATTGGAAGAATTCCTAAACATCAGTCCTTGAACACTGCTGTTGATGTAAGTACGAATCTATAGCTAGGATCCAACTTTGAAATATGCAAATGATATTGTCTAAACGTATTGAATTTCAAGCGCGCAGCTTTTTTTAAAAGTATGTTTATTATAGGAATGCACCAGTACCAGTATACTGGGTACTGGTAATACTGGTGAATCCGTAAGGGTGTGGGTGTGGGTGTGGGTGTGAGTGTGCGGTGTAGTTACAATTGAAAAGAAAATTCACACCCACATCCTTTTTTCCTCGCATTGTACAAACGGAATACGATTCGCCCATATACAACCTATTTCTCGACCTCTACCAGCAATAACAACACTCTTTTCACAAAAAGATACAAGACAATAAAAATGCTCATTCTAATATAGTTTACAGTATATCATGCTCAGATTGCGACGTAGGATATATAGGGAAAACTATTAGACAGGCATCGAGACGACATCAAGAACATGGCGCACCACAACAACCAAAATTATCCTCTACTCCCCAAACAACCATACCAGTAGTAAATAATCAATGATTAAGAAGATCTGATCGTCTTCTAACAAAGCCGAACGTAAATTATTGTCTTGATGATAATGAATGTGATAAATTTCAGGAAAACAACGATGAAAAATAAATGAAATCAGCTCTTTATTAACATCAAATTAATATGAACGATACAATCAATTGGAATGATTGGAAAATTATCCCAAAAGATTGTAAAAAAAATATCATTTACTGGTTCGTGAATCGTTAAAAATTCTTCACAAAAGACCAAGGTTGACTCGAACTATGTGCTCTGCTCCTTTAGTTGTATATCCTGAAGATCTACAAATATCTAAACAAACAGTCAAAATTAAATTAGAGACAATTGATGAACCACGGGTCGGGGCAAATAGTTAAATATGTGCATATTAAACTATTCTAATTGCTGGTAGTGGTGGTTATCCTACTTTCAATTGAAAGAAATGGAAAACCAATAACTTTCTTACTAATGAATCATGTAACACGTATATATACTTCTCTTTTTCTCAGAAAAATGTAACTCCACCTGTCTTGATAATAATATTAGATATATCAAAACGTCGGCAAAACCTTATGATTATAAGTAAATAAGTAAATTTAGCCTTATCTATCGATATCTTATTTATGTTATTCATGATATACGAAAATAAACTTCTTGAATAGCGTCGCAAGACAATCACAAATTTTTGTGAATCTTTAACAATCTCAAACATGTACTCAAGATGTACCAGGTGAGCAGTTTCAAGACGAGTAATTGTGCGGTGGAAATGTACTTCTAAGAAAGCAATATTTTGATCAGATACTGTATTGATGAGTTGTTTGACGACGAAGTTTTGTTCTCAACCCCACGTAGCTGGATGGATAGTATAAAGGCCACCTGTGCCCAACAGAGTGTCGTGGTCAATGTTGAGGGTCTGACATGATGTTTAGCAAAATGAAGATTGGCTACAAGAGAACATTCAATTCGAGCAAAATCACGAATAAGATTGTAGGCTAGATGATGTTGTTCGAGAGTTTCAAGGATCAATAAAAAATGATGATTGCCTTTACTTTCAAAATCTTCACGGTTATTCTCTAGCCATATTTTTACATGTTACCTGTTATTCGGCCACTCATCTCGCCAAGATTATTTCTTAAATATAGGATATATTCATGCACATCCTCCTTTCGTTTCTCTTATATTTTGTGAATTTGGTTGTCAACACTGGTTACAGATTTATTTTTCAAATAAGACACATATTTTCTTAATCCATATTTTAGGGTTGCACTTAGCCCTGTTGCTGTGGATTTAACGTCTAAAAAAGATGGATAGTAAAAAGTGCCATATTCGCCACTGGCCAAGACTGCTCGATACGCTATCATCAATAATTCGTTTATAGAAGTTTGTGATGGATTTTTAGTTTAATCTATTTGTTTTTTTTTGCGTTCTTGCTAATTTCAGATGTAATCTCATGTAAAACAGGTTTTATTACTTTGTTCTTGAGGGTGCGAGTATGAAAATGCCGAAAGAGACACCAATACAACACCCACAGACACAAGACTTCAATATGTGTTTGCTTTTATCATTCAACAAACGCCAGTATTGTAGGATTACAATAGTTTACTTGAAATCTAAAAAAATATATTTCTTGTTGAACATCTAGAGATTGATAAAGAAGGGCAGCATTAATTAAAACGTCGATTGAGAACGAATGAAGGGTATAGAAAAAAATGGAAGGAAATATATTTAAAAAAATGTCTAATTTAATTTTGCCTCTTAAACTATTAATTAACATCGATAGAATTTCGTTGAACATATTGACCGATGTAGGATTTGTAAAAGGAAAAAAATAATTTTTTACAAGATTATTACACCATTGGATCAAGTGAACATCGACGTCGAAATTCTTGGCCATATTCATGAATCCACTTCGTTGCTACCCATTTATTACCAATCAAGACAGGACAAGCTGGAAGCATAGAAAAAAAGCTGACTTATTCGGATAAGCATCAGCTAAATAATACTGACCTGCATGTAGTGTTCTGTAGTCGGCTAAAAAAAAGGATATCAGCTAATGAATGCAATGCAGTTAAACTCGATCATGCCCTACCTTCACCGGACGCGTTCAGGTTGTACCAAAACACTGTGCTTCCTTTCTTGGGTACGACGTGACCCCCAGAAAGAGGAAATACTGTTGCCCCGCCCCGTTCCACGTCACTCATCTAAGAAATACGATTATATAATAAATCGCGTTCTTGAGTTATATACAACTTACATAAGTCATCCATGTAGCTATCCTATTACCTGAATAACAGCAGAAGATTGATAACTCTCATGACTCAATGATATACTTACCAGCCTTGCGAAAATAAGCAGGATTTTCCCATTTCTAAATGCAATACATTGACAATGATCTATTTTGGGAAGCTTGAAAAACAATAACATACATGATAAAAATCTAGATGAGGACTGTAGTACCCACCGACACCATAGTTCACAACCTAATATTCATTTTATACATTACAATACAACACAACAGAAAATAATAAAAATACATGAATTTCTTCAGCCGTTTCCATGGTCAAATTTGTCAGTGCACTAATCAGTTGAGACAGACGAGCTATTACTGGTGAATCTTCATCCCGTAGCCAAGTGCTAAAATAAAAATAATACTTATCAATAAACATCAACCATCCGCAGAATATATGCACACATATACATCTAGGCCTATTTTCTAAGCAACTAGACAAATTTATAGTTCACATGCTTGCATACCCACTAAACTTGCGCACTTAAGCAACTGTGTCGCAATATCACACTCAAATGAACGAACGGAAGAGAAAAGAAATTTTATTTTTTTCATAATTAGTGATTAGAAGACATCAGATATTGAAAATGGGCATGCCGCATAGAAACATATGCAGTCTCGCGTAATGCATCATTCTGCTGATTGCTGACCTCTAAAAACCGCAGAATGACTTTCGTGCGATTTTTGCTTCAACTCATAGTGAGCACAATGATAATAAGAAAAATAAAATATTTATTAATCTTTCACCCTCCAACTTACACCAATAGTCAATGAGTTTGAAGACGAAAGGTTCGCTCTAGCTGCATAACTGACAGTGGATTCATTATTGAAACTATGAGAATATCAAAGCTGTTTTTCTTATTAAATCTGAAAGATACGATGTAATTTAACTCAAAAAGAAATAATGGATAAATTCACTAAATGATGACAAAAAGTGCTACTCTCACTAAGAGATATTGCATGCACATAGTCAGCTGCCTTGCTTTTAATGAGACTCAATCTTTTAAGCAAAGCGTTCACTTGCTCGTCAAATTTCTCTTCCCTGGGGCGCTTTTCTTGTAGATGGTAGACAAAGTCGCACTCTACCTACACCACAAAATAATATTAGATGAGAAATATTTCCATACCTCTTACTAATTCTGTAGTCAGCCGGTGTCATTGTATTGGTTGCAGCGTTCCGTATGAGAGCCCGTTGTAACTGTAAAATATGAATTAGTTTCAAGAACTCTACAGATTTATGTCTTATCTATTTCTTTTTCTTACCCGAGGTACGGCTAGAGCTTTGATTTTTTCAATATCGGAATCGCTTACAACATCATGAAAAAGAAAGATCCCTGGTTCATCAAGCACTTGTTCTTCTTTTACAGGTCGGAAAATAAGATACGGATGCTTGTTGTGACGATATCGACAAAATAATGTCGCCTGGCGTTTGGGACTAAGCTGAACAAAACAGAATAAAGTTGTCTTATATCAATTCCTCGATTATATTACCTGAGCATGCTGTTGCCGACAGAGTTGTTCGAACGGTTGGCGGGATTTCAATTCTAAATAGGTGCCTGGTCGTTGATTTTTCACTTGAAAATTCTTGTTATTCATCGAAACATATTGTATTTCATGTTCTTTGAGGGAATTCACAGTAGAATCATTTTGCTGTTCTTCCACCACTAAGGTGCGCTTTTTTATAAGAGATTCGTAATGAATTTTATTTTTCTTTGCTTCGACATTCTCCGGATCTAAAACAGAAAAAACAAGCAAATATACTTGGATCAATCGTACATATTGTTGATTACCAATAGAGAGAATTTCTTCAGTGACGGCAAGTGCATGTTCAATGTTGCCTTGCTGAAACGAAAAAACACAGACCCTCATCTCGAAATTAGCAACGAATTTATGATTTAATCGTTCACCTGAGCTGTTGCATGGGCAAGATTATTCAGGATATTGATTTTACTTATCAACGCAGTACTGTTCGCTTGATCGAAACGGTCAAGTGCTTCTTGCATCCACATCAATGCATGATAGAAATCCTTCTTTGCAAAAGCCACACGCCCTATACCGTAGCAGTCATGACCTAAAAGGTGACCTACGTGCATAATATAGCTATGTATCCGAGACCATACTAGTCAACTTTTTCGAGCGAAAATTCGAAACGATCCTCCCATCAGCCAATTGACTTGTTTTCAGTTCATATGTGTCTTGCAGACGTAGCAAAGAGGTGGCAGTTCCTGTATAGAAAATAAAACGAACTAAATGTACATAAAATCGAACAATTCATTCACCAATATAATCTTCCAATGATGGAAATAGCCATTGCTTATCGATGATTTTGCTTAGATCTAGATAAACATGGAGTAAGATCAATCAAGTAACAAATATTAATTCAATAAATGCACTTGGTGATACCAGCGTTGTTATATGATTCCATTCGATAGTAAGATGTTTGATAAACAGAAACGAGTTGATCGGATTGCTAAAGTATTTTTCTTCTTTAACTTTAGCTCGAGAAACTTCGCTTTCGATAGTATCGAGAAATCTATTTTACGAACAGTAGAATTCATGAAGTAATGAAAAAACACTATATTTTATTACTTTTGTATATGATCTATTCGTTTGTTTTCTTCTTTCAAATAGTTTTTCAATCGTTTTGTTAATTCCACTTCAGTGCCAAGCATTTGAGTAAGATGAGTCGTCGATGAAAAAACTTCGCTGCGCACGTGAATACTCAGTTCGACAGTGAAAAGAAAGGAGTACAGCCAGATGCAAAGCATATTAGCTGTATGCTGTCTACAAGAAAACAAACACGACGTTTGTCCATCATTCTTAGTTAAGTTCTGCATTAATAAAGCATAAACATTCAACTAGTTGATTAAAAACATCTCGTCAACTTTTTCATAATTAGAATTCTGAAGAATGTTCAAACGTTAGATCAATCTGGCTTTTAAAGAACTTACCTGAAGTTACTAAAAATTGAACTTTGAAGCATTTTTATATTGCCAATTCAAATACAAACGTGAAATCAAAAAACTAAGATTGGCCATGGTTTGACTCCGAGGCTGACGCATGAAAACTATGGTAACCGAGTATAATTAGCTTCGCGCATAATAAGTGCTAGTGTGCTGGCTCTCTTCAGTCATACTCACACTCACACCCAATCAGAGGGTTAAAGTTCATCCTGAACTACATTTACTCATTGAATGGAGTCACTGTCGACACGAAGCTACTATAGCTAGAAGTCATTTCATGTATAGCATCGCTCGCGACAACTCTGATTGAATTGCCATCTCTTTTCATTTTCTTCTTTTACATTTCTTCTCCTTTTCTTCTTTTACATTTCTTCTCCTTTTCTCTTTTAACATCGCAATGAAGTGAATATGCATACACCTTGTTGGCTTCTCCACTGTTGACAGAAACGACATCATTAACAATCCCATAGAAGAATAAAAATATACACAAGTTCATGGCTGTTGTTTTACGATGCCCGTTGTCGACGGATTTTGTGCAATTCGAATACCTAAAATTGATAATTCGAGTGTTTTCCCATGTGCATTTTTTATACATGACACCATACAATGCTAGTTGTTACCCATGTAGTGTGGATGGGGAAAGGAAGCAAAGAAAAATATCGGAAGAAAATATATAGAAACGTCGAGGATGTGGGTGTGGGGGTGCACTGGTATCTTCTCTTCATCCGTACACCACATCCACATCGAAAACACTGGTGTACTTTGCGTCGCCAATGCCATTTTCATGTCGATCTTGATATGTCATTCGAACGAAAACACCTGAGAAAACAAAGTTGACAAATGACGACTACTATTCAAAACATACTCCAGCTAGATTATCGCTGCAAGTGCTATCGAGATTATTTTTCGAAAAAAGTGAAGTAGAAAAATCTAAGGACACGATCGTTCAATGTCACTTTGTCAAATGCATAAATTTACGCAGAATAATTTTTTGATGCATATTTTTGGTTGAATCGATTAGAATAAATAGATGTTAAATTTAGTGTCAAAATCTCGAATAGTCAAATATTCAATATGGTCATGTAATTCGATATTTTCCTAATTGTCAATTATTTTGCTGAAACTGTTTGCCGTCTGAAATTACTATATTTTGTTCTACAATACCTTTTCTTATTCAACAGTGATTCATACTACACGCATACACCACTTGAGATAGCGACCATTGTAATGAAAGCAAACACCTTACATGAGACGCATTCGCTAAATTTTATAAAATAACGCAAGGTAGATAGTGTTAACTATCATTTGTGTACAATGATTTTACATACATTCTTTATTACCGTGTGACACAGCATGCATCTGGCAAGCGTCACTTTTTTAATGGTTTTGACGACAGTGATGGTCGCTGCCGACGGAGTATGCGTTTGTTCATGTTGCAATAGACGTATGGATCGCACTGGTTGTATTTTGGATTCGCCTATAGGTGGATGTCACTCCATGGCCTTTGCATGCCACAAAGTCTGTCAACAAAACTGTCCTGATATGTGTCCACTGGACAACAATACAGGTCCTGCTATTTGTGCAGAAAGCTATTTTGGCATTACTAGATCGATTGGATGCAATGGTACCGGTGAAACAACGACAATAAGCAATAGCGCAAAAATAATAAACAGCTTTTTACTGAACACATTTCTGTTGCTCTTCAATCTGATAGTCATTTTCGGATTTTAGAATATGTGACAGCCGATGAATTAATTACATTTCATTACTTGTTTTAATCAAAAGCCCACTTTCAATAACCGACGTGATCCTTCAGCAAGTGCAAAAATGGATTGGTGAAAGTTGAGCACGAGGAAAGATGAGCACGGAAACATAAGCACGGAAAGCTAAGCACTGGAATAATGAGCACCGATAACATGAACACTGGAAAGTTGAGCACGAAAGAAAAAAATTATAAAGATACAGTGTATTGACTGATGAATACATTTTATTTATATTCTATGAAAAAAAACCATTATAATGTAATATTATTAGCGATTGAGTCGAGTTGAGTTAGAATATCTTGATGAGGATTTGAAATTAGATGTAATAGCCGTTTTTCAAAACGTTCATTCTTCTTCTTGCTTTTTGGTACTTGTCCAGATCTTATATGAACTATATCAGCATGTATAGCATTTTGTTCATCAATAAGTTTTTGAAGAAAATCCCAGTGTGGGATGGAAACATCGAAATATTGAATTAATTCGACGATGATATGCTTCGGCCGAGTTATTTGTTTTCATTAATGATTGAGTTGTTCTATGAAACATACTCCAGAAGCCAATGGTAAACATTGGTTTTCTCCGTGTGTGATTAGCACGTAATCGACCTGTAAAAGTTACATAAAAGAATTTCTGTAGCGGATATACAATCACTTATCAATATAGGTTTCTTCAAAATAATGAAGAACAGTTTGATATTCATCGTCAAGATTCATTGATAAATCTTCAAAACCCTTCGCCACATCATCTGGTTTTAGAAAAGCTAATGCAGCTATTTTATGTATATTGTGTGAGAATTCTGGATCATTTTCATATTTATTTTGATGACCTAATGCCTAAATACAAATATTATATGGCAATTACATTTAAGTTAAGTTCTGAATTTATCATTTTATTACCTGCAACTTGCGATGGATGCTTTGTCGCAAATGAAAATAACACCCCGACCCTAACACATTTGGAAAACTTCTATCAAAAATACATATACACGCTTGTTCAAAATCAAGCATAATCGAAACAGGATTCCAATTTAGAGCAAATCGAAGTATTGGATGAACTAAGTTGTGGTAAGTGGTAGCATTTTTTCTTCGAAGTAACGCATATATATCTGGGTTGTATCAGATAGATATGTACCTAAGATATTGGCAAGATCGTGGAAAATATAGCGATTACTATTATCTTTTCATAAGATATTCAGTAAAACAGAAAGCGGCATCATTAGTGTATTTACATAGGCTATCTTGTCATTCACCGTTTTTTATGCATACAGAGCTGAATATAAACAATATGATTGAACATACGAAGCCTAATTTTTCAAAATAAGCTTTTATCTAAACTACGTCTCGATTATTGATTATTCGAGAAAATGTTGATCTCGATCGATAATCGAGAGAGGACTACCCTAAATTGGTTTGAAGGATATCAAACCAACTTAAAGCCGGTCAGATCACAACATCTGACTTGGTAGAGTTATTCGGAAGAGGAATAATTAAAATTAATTGAAAAAATATCTGTCTCTGTTCCGCAAGCTATAATTTTGTAACAGAGAGTGCCCTGATGCCAGTTTTTGCGTTGTTTGATAGAGAAATATTCATCATTTCATTTTTCATGAAGTAAACCTTGATTTTCAACGGAGAAATCTAATCCAGGATGTGAACTTCTATTCTGTATAGGGGTTTATCTGAATGCTCAAGATCTGTTAGCATATCTGTGCCTTGTATCTTGGTGAAGATCTTGTTTGCCAAATGTTTGTCTAGGAGAGTGACAATATGGTTCAAAATCTTCTATCGATTAACGACAATACAAACACGTCTGATAATCAAATAATCAGTGCTGTATCAGATTCGACTCCATCTAGTCAAACACTATCTGGAAAATAAAAACAAAATCAAATATCTCGATTGTCTTTGTCTAAAAAGAAAAAAATGTGAATATATATTTTTCTAACTAGATTTTTATTTGTGTATAATGTAATCATTTATTTGTTTTTTGACCTGCTTTAAGCTGCTTTTTTATGATAACATTGATGATATATAGAATACTTAATGTGACATAAAATTGATAGAACTTCTATGACTTAATCTGTTTCATTGGGAAAAAATCAAACTTGATACTCAACATGAATTTGATCATGAGCATATGAAACATTTGTTTACAACAAAAAAATAGTTAAACATCATATAAAATAGTCTTTTAGAGGATATGATTACCATTAAAAGTCGATTTGTATTGAATAAAGTTTGAAGGACCCAGGTCGAAAAATCTGACACAAGATCTTAT